ATATATGTATATATATATATATATATATATATATGTATATATATATATATATATATAAATATAACAATTTTAAGATCAATTAATTCCCTATTTATTCTCCTATTTATTTATTTATTTATTTCCTATTTATCTAATTTACTATTATTTTTATGAAGAGGCTATTTCAACCTGGGTTACACCTGCACTATGACATTAATTGTAAATTCTGAGTGTCTTGGGGAGCTCTACAAGTGTACCAAATTTCAAGTCTCTACGATAAAGTAAGTGAATAGGAAAGGGTCTTTTGAAAGTTTCCAGGTGGCGCCGTTGAGCCGTTTCTGTTGCAATTTTTCCGTGGACCTTAAAATACGTAAATTTAACACGGGCTCTATGCCCCCGCCAAGTTTGGTGAGTTTTTGAATATGATAAAGCCCCCAAAAAGCCAATTCATTTGGCACGGGAAAAATAATAATAAACAGCACGATTACAATAGGCCTTCGCAGCGCTTAGCTGCTCGGGCCTAATTAAAATATACCCCCATATATTAGTCTTGCTGTAAGATTCCTTTACAGATTTGGTTTTCCAAAGTCATTTGCCTGCAAAGACCAACTTATACAATTAGAAGGGGACAAATTACTGGAATTAAAAGGCAAGTGGCTTTAACAGATTTTGAGAGCCTCCCGCAGCACTGCTCAGGTTGTAATTAGGTCCTCAAACGTTTTGTAGCCATTAGAGCTTTGGGGTGACCCAATGAGGACACACCCAGCCCAGTGTGACCAGCTTAACCAGCTTAAATGAATAAAAATCAGCATCATGTCACTCCTAAAAAGCCACTGTACCTTTAGGCAGTACATTAAGGTACAGAGAGCAACTTAAATTAGCCTCCATGCAGAATGAAAGTAAAATAAATGTCCCAGATGGCTACTTAACATTAGTTATGCCTAGATATTTTCCTAAATAACATGAGCTCCTTTTCTGATGTATGTGTACGTGCACACAAATTGTGCAGTCACATTTGTTTATTTCATATTGAGAATAGTTCATTAACAGTTTATTAGGAGCATGCCAGTTATAAGGGGGGAAAAATCATTCTAGCAAATACCTGTTAATATTTATTTGGTTGATCCTGATGTGAATGCGGCTGTGGATGGCGCCACAAGGGGGCAGTGTTGTGTGAAGGAAGTAGGCCCGCCATAAGAAGGGAACCTTCTTGTCAACGGTGTTGCGGCTGCGTCAAACCAGAATGTTCTGCTTCTCGTCTCTTCTCTTCCACGGTTTATGCAGGTAATCATAATAAAATGCGTGCGAAATCACATATAGTAGGACTGTATAATTTCGGTGTTTTATAGCCAACTTATGTGTGGTTTTATTAAAGTTTAGCCATGTTAGCAGAACGGTTAGGCTGTGCTTGTGACGAAGCAGATACGAGGCTGTGCAATGGCGACGCTCCACTCCCACTAAACTCCAATACCAATACTTTTGAATCTTAGGTATATTGCTGTTTTAAAGTTCAAGTTATCTCTCTTCTAATAGGAAAATTAAGCAGGAAATCTGCACTACAGTGAAAATAGACGAAATTTAGAGGTAAATTTTGGTCTTTTTCACCTCCTTGCACATGATGTGTGCCAGACTCGCTCCAACTTTCAAAATCAAAGCTCTTTTTAACAGCTAAAGGCAATACGAGTTGTAGGAAATCCTAAGAGAAGCAGAAAAATTTAAAACAGTTTTAGGGTTTACATGTAGATATCTCCGAACTGGTTGTTTCTTGTTTTCACTCAATTACTTTTTATTCCACAGCAAATGTTGGCACATCTAGAAATATATTTATTATGGGCCTAAATCTAAACCAATGAGGCGCTGCCTGTGAAACAAATTTGTGTAATGTACGTGAAGAATGTTTATCAATCACAATACCCTTGTGTAATGCGAAAACGTTTCCCCCATTACAGGTTCATTGTGTTTTAGTTTTTTATTTTTACTTAAATTTTTCAGTTCATCAAACAAATTGTAATAGTAGACAAAGAAATTAAAAATATTTGTTGGCCTTGTGTGAAAAAGTAGCTGTCAAATCACGACTTGAACTAATTATTTACAGTTTCAGATCACGCCTGAGTACAAGAAGTCCATAAGCAAAGATTAAGCCCCAAATCTTAAGAAATTCAAGAACAGATGAGAAACAATCAATGAGATTTTTTTAATCCGCTTTTTATAGAAGGGTGAAGTGAGTTGGTACTAAATGTGTTTTCGCTCTATTACTTCTGTGTTCTAAGTAAATAATTTTTAGGGTATATGAAGGTTTTTCAATTTCCTTTTTCGCATGTTTGTTGGATGATTCACAGCTGCTGGGAAGTTAAATTCCCTGTCTGGAAACAGCATAGCTGGCAATTAATTTGCAAATCCCCATCCATAATGTCAGGGACTGCTGTTCCAGGAATGTGGGATTTTGCTGGAAGGTTCCCCGGGCATTTTCTCAAAAGGTCACTTGAGCTGTTCCCTGTTCACTTCTACTGTACTACTTACAGAGTAGGATTTTTTTAATCTCCCACCTATAAATTCAATACTATTTGAGCCGGATGGGTGATCTGAGCACCACAGCACGACGGTAATCAGATGTAATCTATTGGTGGTGGCATTTTAGAGATGGTGCATTGGAAAAGGATATACTAAGCAAGGATAGTTGGGACATTTGCTTAAGAGAGAAAGAAATTAGTGAGAAAAACAGCCTGATGGTACTCTCATTTACACACACCTCATATGACCCTCTACCACTACTGATGTCTTGTATTTTCTTTATAAAATATTGTAAAAAAAAATAAAATAATAATAATAAAATTGAGAAATAACAGAAATTAAGCATAATACATATAATTTGTGAAGATAAAATAAGCTTAGTCTCATGATAATACATGATATTTGAAAGAACCATAAATGAAAAAACAGGGTGTTTTGTTACATCATTAGAAATGATGTACTTAACATTTTTCTTATAGGCCGTAGGGTAGCATTGCCTTGAGAAATTGTACGCTCTAAATATCTGTATGGATAATGATAAACATGGTGTGACTCTACAAAGACGTGCTGCCATATTTAGTTAGCCTAAGATGCTACTAACTACACATAAATGATTTAGCCTCTGTGTGAAATTAGTGGCCTTTAGCTCATCAGTGATCCAAAACAATCCTACAAATTATGGACGTAAATTCTAATCAGTGAAACGTAAAGTTTGATTGATTACAAGATGATACTGACTGAAATATAAGTGGATTTAAGTATCTGCAGTCAAGCCAAAAATGAGTTATAGTCTTGGCAATGAAGATTTCATTCAAGCAACAGTGTAAAAGTAGTATCAGTTAAAAAAAATAATTTCTTCTCATTCAGAATTAAAAAAAAGAAGAAAAAAAATGACATCATATATGTTTTTACCTTTCTTAATTTCTGTATAATATTTGTACCACAAAAGATATTGAAGATTCAACAAACATGACCAAACTCAATATACAGAACTAAGGGGGATAACAAGACATGTAAAATTTAAGCCCAGTGATTCATGATGGGCCACCAACCCCTCCAAAACCTTCCAGACTTCCAAGGATGATTGCAGAGTCACTGGTTGCTCATAAGGAGCTGTAGACACTTTTAGAGGATGATCCAAGAACCACCGGGTCCGACAAGGAATCTTGAAAAGCTGATTGTGTGATTCTGAAACTTGATTCTATACTGAAATGGGTTGTCTTTCTATGCACCTTACCAACAATGTGACGAAATGCAAAACTTTTTTTTTTTACAGGATTTCCTCTAAAATAGTTTATGTCCCCTGTCTAAACACTATGCAATCTGTTCTGCTTCCAAAATGTCAGCAAAGTGCTACATCAGTTTGACTTCATATGTCTGCTGAAGCTTTCAGATAAAGACTGATGAATCCAACAATTTCCTTAAATACTGTAGAACCTTCCAGTGACTTTTAGTAAATGGCAGACCAAACAAAAAGCTTAGCATATACAGACATGTTTTCGTCGTTGCTGCATATGAGCAACACGTCTGCATGTTTTTTATGCAAGCGCGCGGTGTTGTTCTTTTCAGACCGGAGACTGTGAACATGTGGGGTTTGGCCTCATAAATGTCAACGTTTGTGCACGTGAATGGGTACGCTCAGAAGTAATTGGTTTGGTCTGCAGAATCACCGGCGGAACAGCAGAGGACAGGAGAAGAGGGTGAGAGAGGAGGAAGAGAGCCGGCGCTTTGCTTCAGCTCATTAACCAACGCCTGTTAGCTTGGAAATAAATTGGGTGAGATTCTGCCACTGGAAAGGCTTATTAGTTCATTTTTCTCCTCCGACCCCGGCTGATCCTTCGTAGGTGTAGTGAGGCACGGCCTCGCTCCCACTCTGTCTCACTTACGCACGGTCCATATGAGTCCGAGCACACGTACATTAAAAACCAGCGGCCCATGGGCCCCGAGCAGATGTAAATGAGACAGGTGTCAAATGACTTGAAACCTGCTGCAACTCAAATGTCACCTAGACTTACTGCAGCTCTGCCTGGAGGACTTTCAGCTTATGGCTGAGGCTCCTTACAGATTGCTGACTGAATACGTCAAATATTAGAGAAAACTGATACAAGATTCAGAAGTAAAACAGCATTGTAGCCAGTGGTGGTTCTGGGATGAGTGTCCTCCGGGTTGAGCCTCTTTTTCCGGCACCCAAAAAGATGCCAAAAATTATATAAGCAGAAAAAAGCTGTTCCACTGCATAGAAATAGTCGAAGACCTATAAAGGGTGCAGCTGACAAATAATTTATTGTATATTTTTTATCTGGGTCAAATGCGTCTGCCCCTACTAATGTTGCCCTGAGCAACTGCCCATGTATCAATAGCCAACACATGTACAGTCATATTCAATAAGACCAGGATCTGTGATTTCTTCATTCTACAGGTTTGGATGTAATCAGGTCTGGGCGTGAATAGTAAAATTCATCTCATCTTTGTCTGATACTTTTTGAAACCCGACACGTCAGCTGACGAGGACAGCAGAGCAAAGAGTCGTCGTCAGTGCTAGCACAAAATCCAACGGTTGGTTCACGCTACAGCATCAAAATGTTCTTGTTATCCTGCTGAAAGTGTAAATTCAAAATAATGGGTTTGCTTGAGGCATCATTTGTCTTCCCTGGGGTTCCTGTGCCAATAGTAAATGTTGCTGGCATCATTATCGGAGGCATCGTAAAAGCAGAAATCTGGAACTTGGCTCTCTTGCTGGAGCGAGCCCTTCTTTCAGTTGTTAGTATTATTAACATGCTGTTGAGAATGGAGGCTGAACACTTAACCAGACTGAAAGGACTGCTGTCATCCTGACTAAAAGCCCTTCCATTTGGCAAAGAGCACAGAAGAGAAGAGGATTTTTCAAAATGGGTACTTTCTGCAGTAATTCACTAGAGTATGCGTTTATCAGAGAAATTACCCCACGGCCATGGAAAAACACAGACGAACTTCACTGCCAGACTTCATCAGGCTCCTGATTTAATAAGTTTGTCAATACGTACTGTACGTCGGTGTGAACTCTATCCCTCATCATGTTACGAGAGGCAACAACATGCATTAAGGGACAAACTGCAAGCATGAATGGACTGGTTAACTGAAAGACAAGTGTCGGGTTCACATTAAAATGTTCAATCTGCGTACCAATGTACATGGAAGAATGGACATGATACAAGCTTTATGCACAGATGCACAGGCGTATTAATGGTCAATGTTTTGGGGCAGTCATAAAATGGCTTGTCATGCCCAACCCCCGCTGCTCCTCCTTTTCCTAATAACATCATTCATCAGAAAGTGTCAGCGCTGAGATATGGGTCGATAAACAATTTGGTGCAACATGGCTAATGGCAACCGGAGTAATTTAATATTTTCTCATGCTTATAAATCCCAAAGATTCCCACATACTTTCTGAAGCTCTTCCTCTGAAGGTAATGTTGTTCTTTGAAGATGCAGAATCAGTGTATTTTGTAGAGCTTACAACCCAGATTTCTACTTTAACTATTAAAATAACAAAAAACACTGAATTATAAACTTTTTTTTTTATGTGAGAAACTGTGAGGCATATCAAGAGTCATTTCAACCATTTACATAAAAATCATCCTTTGGATCTTAGGAATTCCCTTTGTTGGTGGAAAAATGTAATAAATTTTTTTTGTAATTTGCTTTTAGCTTGTTTTGTAAATCCTGCAAAGGAATTGGGTACAAATTTGTGACAGCTGTGTTGGTACCAAAGAGCCTAAAAGTCCAATTTGAAGTGGTGTGTGTGCTGAATTATGTGCAGAAGTAATGGCGGCTCATCCTGTGAGGTTAGTCTTTTTGTGCCTGAACACAAAAATATTGATATTTCTGAGTTAATGGAGTTGTAACAATATTTTCCTAAAGAGGATGTGGTAATGGATTGAACATAAACGTAAAAGCAGATGAAGTTCCAAAGGAAAAAATGATCAAAGATGTTCAGAGAGCCTGTCTGACTTGTTTTTGCAATTGCTGTTTTAAGAATCATTGCAGCTGCTTTGTGCTATATGACCATTTATCCATGGAAAAAAAATTATTTAGAGAAATCTTCAAAATCCTGTAATATAATTGTGCCCATGGTGAGCCTATTTTAACTTCTGGCTGCAATTGCATGCCCACACCAAAAGCAATCGTACCAGATTTTAAGAGTATCCCTGATTGTGAATGGCATTGAGGCTTTTTATTACCTAAGTTGAGGTTTAACGGATTTCTGTGGTGCTACTGTTCTGTGTTATTCTTAATGCGACACACACACCGTATTGTTTCGTTAGACTTGATTCTCTCTGGCTCCCAGCTGTCTATGTGGGATACCCTTCAAAAAGAATGATGTGCAAAGTTGTAGACATAAACCACCATGGATTTAAAGAGGCCAAATTAGCCAAGAGCATCCAAATTTGTGGGGTTGTTGGATTAAACACTAATGCCAAACTGCTACGGGAAAGGGTTAGCGGTTGAATTACTCATGCATACAAAATTTAATCTGTGTGTGTTTGTGTGTATCTGTTTATACAGATTTCTGCCAGAAGCATGACTAGCTGTCACTTCAATTCTCGAGCCCGCTGTGCTACAAGGTTGCCCCATACAGATCGCTCATGTTTGATAAAAGCAGCAAAATGTTTCCTCATCAGAGGAAACATATTACCCGTTATGCATCAAACAAAGAGCGACGGCTGCGTTCCAGGCTCAGTTGATCTTGAACTGGCCGCCTCTCTCGTCTTTCTGTGTCACCTCTCCTGAGTGACGTGCAGCCTGACTGGACATGGCACCGTCGTCTGACTGGAACCAAATGAGCCGTGAGTAATGGCAGAGGACGCGGAGCCCATTGGCTAATTGTCCTGAATAATGAGGCCGGTTCTCCTTTCTGATTGGTGTTGGAGGTGGGAGGTTAGCTCTCGGCACGTCTATCTGCAGCGAACAGTGCAATGTCACTAAAACGGATTTGTCAGATGACTGCTGGGGTGACAAAAAGTCAAGCATTCATTTTCTTTTCCTCGACATGAGGTCTATGTTGCAGCATTTGAGCCCTTTGTAGCCTGTCCCTTTAAATCTCTGTAGGACATGAAACTCCTGAAAACCTACTGGGATGAACCTGCACATTGAATTGTTAAATGAACTACACGCTCACATAAACAAAGTACTATTTATCTATCTATCTTGTCTAATCTATCTAAAATTAAAAGCAGATCAGAAAGCCTGTTGTTTTTTGACTTTAGATGTGTTTGTGTCCTTGTAGTTCTCTGCTTGCTTCTCATGCCCCAGCCAGCTGCTGCATGGCATAAGGAACATGCACCAGATTGCTTTGGAAAGTGACTCCCACTAATTGACCAAAGCTAATGAGAGGGAAAGTTGTTTTGGGGATTAAAGCTTTATGATTGGTTTTAGGTTCATCTGCACATCATATGTTGATATATATATGTATATATATATTTATATATAATATGTGTAAATGACTTATGAGATAAATATTTAATTGGGAAACAAAACCGTGTAAAAAGCTAGAACAAATATGTATGTAGCAAGACACAGAACCTTTTATTTTTGACTGTTTGCATCTTGGGGTGTGTGTTTTAGGTTTTGCTATTATTTGTGTTCCTTAGTTCTTTCTATTATTCCTGCCTTCTTTCCATTTTTACTGTAGTTCACCCCTAGTGATATTCTAGTTATATTTATTTCTCGTGTCTAGACATTGTCTTAGTTGCTCTGGTCTTTATTGCATTTCTTATGTCTAGTTATTTTGTTACGTTCATTACTTGAACCCCAGCGTTCCACGTGTTGCCAATTCAAAATTTAATTTGAAAGAACATATAAATTCACTCCTCCAAAAAACCCTATTTATTTTTGATTATTGTAGCTGATCTGACACTGAAAAAGTGCGAAAAATGCTATGAGCTCTTCAGAATCAGATGATCAGGCAGGACGATGATTATTTTCCTCATTTTTTCTGACACGTACTCCACGTGTTACCTGGTTAATGCTTTTAACTTATATTTACAGCATTCGCCTGAGCAATGTGCAAATGATGTGACTGACATTTTCCTTAAATATTCCTGAGTTGTGGTTCTCAACTCATCCAGTGCCTTAAATACAAGGGTGCTATGCATAATTCTTTCATTTTATTACCTGCATTAGTTTCTTGTAATGGATGTATTCATTAAATTGGAGGGACACTGGAGAATAACTCCGTGTTCTTGGCACTAAAACTGGACACTAATGTTAGTAAAAATGGAAGGATTTAGGGTTTAGTGTTTAAATCTAAAATCCAAAGTACCTGAGGCCCATTGACATCCTGGAGTCCTGCTCTGTCGGGCCAGAGTTTGATCAGATGTCACATAAATCAATTCTGTAAATCACTGGAAATGGATGAAAGTCGATGTACGGGACTACTGAATTTTATTTATAGAATCCAATAAGAAGTGTGGGTTATTACCAAGCATGTTATCAACCAGCAACTAATCAGCCAAACCTCATTATGTTCAATGTGGCAGCATTCTCTCCCAATGTGTTTTAATGGATTCAGATGAAGTTGTAATTAGGGTTAGGCAAATAGATGCCATCCCCAACATGAAGAGAAGGTGATGGTTAAAAAAAAAAAAAAAAAAAAACTAATTAAGGTTGTATATCTTTAACGGGTCACCAGTCCTGGTTCACTACCAGTAACCCATATTAGACACCCCTGCCTCGGACACCGCACAGAAACAGAAGCAGGTAAATGTCTGGAGGGTCAGAGAACAGGATGTACCATGAGAACGAGTGCCAGGAATGATAGTAATTCTACATCCTCCTGTGCCATTTTAATAAAGCAAGCTTGATTTTTATAGAAATATATTAAAGGGCTGCACAGACTTGGTGACCTGTCCAGGGCCGCCTCTGACCCGAAACGTTCGCTGGAGATAGGCACCAGCACCCCTCCCGACCCGACTAGGGACAAGGGTGTACATAAAATGGATGGATGGATTAAAGGGCTTTGGACGTAGAAAGTCTACACACATCCCTGGTAAAATGTTTGGTTGTTGTTTCCTTTAATGTGACGTATGCGCCATACATTTCATCTGAAAAAAAAACAACAGATTTGTTAGAGGATTAAATAAAAACGAGCTTCTGTAACCTGGTTGCAACAGTAAGGACACTCTTAAACTAATACTTCATTGACTTCAACTTCATTGGTTTTCCTTTCAAGTTCAAGCATTCGGCATTCTTATGACTGTAATCGTACCTGAAATAATGTTTAGCTATCTGTGAAGAAGTTTTAGGACATTTTGCTCAATTGTGTCTTTTGGCTACATAAGCCATAGCTGGCAGAAGGGTTATAAAGGATCAATATGATCTCATATAAAAGTATCAGTCAGGAGGAGAATACAAAAAACATCCTCCACTTTTTATATGTTGACACAGTGAAGAAATAAATAAATATATATATATTTTTAGACAACAGTGGCATCAAGAGAACTGGATGTTTCTACATAATTAATAAAAAGTATGAGACTGAAACTGGTCAGGGAGACTGCCAAGGTCCATACTGGCATTTCTGGCTACTATTGATTCTGATCTTCAATGGTCTCCTATATTTTTCTAATGTCTGATCTAAGTAAGAGGTGTATTTGTGAGAGGACAACTTTGTCATCCAGAGAAAAAAAATACAGGCCTGGCTAAGATCTGCCAAAACCTTGTGGATGAGACCCAACTGGACCGATTGGCACAAAATAACCAAAGATTATACTGAAATCAAAATACGGATAAAACTGCACCATTCTAATGTCTGTCAGAAGGGTGAAGATAAAAAGTGACGATGAGCAAAAGATTGATTTCTCTAGAAGAAAACTGAAGTTTTGTAATAATTTAAATTCAACCAAATACCTGATAGGTTAATGTAAGCGGGCTGTGGACAACAGATGTCCTCGCAATCTGAGGCATTTGGAGAACTTTGCAAGTCTTTACATATGTTACAGTCTAATAGTGGAATGCTAACAGACTAGAATGGTATTAAAATCTGTTTCCACAAAGTGTCACTTGTAGTTATACAACCAGGTTGTTGTCATGCTTTAATCTGTTATATTTTTCAATTCGGCTTATTTTCTTTTCAGTTGAATAAAACATGTCATATGAAAGGTTTATAACGTGGCAATATTATTTATGGTCTAATTCATTCGATATAGAGACCAAGCGCAAAGGGTGTGTATATATTTCATATCCACTGTAATGGCTGTGTGCAAAATGTCGTGACTTTCATGTCCAATTTGCTTCCCAATCCAAATCTAAGCATCCGAGAGTAGACAATCCCACAAATGTTGGAGTCGCCTCCTTTTTGTACCCTGTGGTCGATCATGTACGGTACAGTTTTGTCTCTATGCATGCTTGGCAAAATCTCTCTCACCGTGCCTCTAATATTCAAGTCATATCATGCGACAAATCTAATAGTCAGACACTGCGCCGCCCCCACCCTCTCTGGTACTTCACACAGCCCACTCACGCTCTGCTCATCAAGCCCATTACACACAGACATAAACAGCAGCACACCTCTCTGTTCTGGCACCGTGCAGCACAGCAGGTTGCCTTCACTTGTCTGTCATTGCCTCCCCCGTGAACGTAATCAGAGCGGCAGCGGTATTACTCCATCAGCATCTGGGTTGAGTCTGCGAGCTCTCTCGGCCCCCAACTGAGCCGACCCACTGGTGCGTGACTACACCAGGTGGGAGACAGCCACACGATGCCAGCCCTGAAAAGAAGAGATTTGACTCACTGCTAAATCTATATTTAGGGATATTTTTTGCCTTACATGTTGCTACAAGTGGAGCTGCTTTGCATTTTTTGCTCTCGGTTTTGACGAATATCCCTCCAAATGTAGATTGGGGGGGCCTTGCTGAAATTCCTGTGAAGGCTAAAATGGTCCTGATTTGTCTGAGAGACTAGCGTCGGATGCAGCCTCTTGCAAAATCCTGTGTGTCCATTGAATATTTCCACATTTTGTCATGTTACAACTTTTAATGTATTTCTTTGGGACTTTATGTCATGCGCCAACAGGAAGTAAGGCATATTTGTCAAAGTGAAGAGACGTTGGATGTGGTTAAATGAAAATGTGAAAAATGTTGCTAGCATTTATAATCATCACCCTTTTGTCTAACAGAGACTACTGGCTGCTTCTCTGATTTATTCCCTTCTTGTCCAGCCAGTCATTTAGGGTGGATGGCCATGTCTTGGCAGATGTGGAGTGATGCCGCACTCCTCCATGATCAAATGATGCATTGAATGCTGCTTTGTGTTCAGAGCTTTGAATACTGTTTTATACTCCTGCTTTAAAATCTCCATGGCTTTTCCCTTGCCTGTTTTCTGGGTTCCTTGGTCTTCACGATGACTTTCAGCCTCTTTCACGCTGAAGAATCGAAAATCTTTAGCATAAACGTGCTTTAGCGTGTGGACGCCATGGATCTGAATACTTCTTCAGTTCAATTACGTTTTGCTTGATAAGAATCTCCAGTACAGTCATGGCACCTGTTGCTAATTCACCTAGGCAACCATCTTGCTTGATGAAGAGTCGTCTGTTTCGTTTCTGTTTGTTTGATTCAATCTGTTTCACAGTTTGGAGCTCTTGGCATTTTACAGAAATATAATAACTCTTAAAATCAGTTTCAGACAGTCTCCTTTTAATAAGAAATTATAAACGAATTTTCCCTCCACATTTTATACTGAGACAGAAATCTGAACAGATGCTCACACTGCAGGCATTCACCACATTCATTCACTGTTGGTTAAAAAAAAATAAAAATGGAAAAAACCTCCCCAGAAGTTAACCAGCCTT